ATTATTTACCAGACAGGGGTGGGGCCTTTCCTTTCCAATTTGTACAACCATCTCGGGGCCGTCCAAATGATTGAACTAACCTCTGCTTAAAAAACTAAAATCCCACACCCATTCATTTGGCTTTTTCTTTCCTGCTGTTCAAAGAGATAAGCTACTCTTAAATCCAGATTCTCACCATGATCGCGCTTGTCGCGCATGCATTCACGTGACGGTTGTGGCATACCACAAAACAGAAGATATGGACACAAGATGGTGCAAATGTATTTTAGTATCCTAGCCACTTAGGTGAACATGATTTAAGTGGGGTGGGACTGCCTCCTCTGGGGGTCGGGGGCATGCTCCCCGGGGGAAGCGACGATTTTTTGTTCAAATATTGAATTTTTATAAAGCATCATCTGGTGCACTTTGAGAGCAAAATTAAGAGATCTATGGATTCATCTTTCAACACCCAGATGAAACAGAACTGTAAGCATATTTTTCTTTTTAGATATTTTACAAATCACTCCCCTTTTAAACTCTATTCTTGTTATTTTTAACAACTTTTTTGTTACTGTCATATAGTATTTTATACCTGTTTTTCATTTAGTCTCATTAATAACTATAATGATCATATCAAGGTGTGCCTGAACCTCACTGAGCTGAGGTTATTTGAGCCTCTCAGGAGAGAGCTCTCTTCCACCTAGTTGTTGAAAAGATCTTTAAATTCGTTAGCATAGCTAGCTAACCAGATGCTAATAACAACAGATCGCCACTGTGCTTACAACTAAAGACACAGCCTCGCAAACACTGCGGCATGTGTACGGCTCCTTATGGGTACTGCAATATTTGAAGAGCTGAAGCGGCGTTCCGGTGCTCTCCGTCTCCGTTACTCAGACTAGACATAACCACGTGAAGACACGTTACGCTCGTGTTGTGTTCAATGAACCTGTCCTTGGCCAGAAAAAACAGGTACTCGCTTGTTCAATTATTTTGCGATCTAGACTTCTTCTTTTTTGAAGTGAGAAGTTGTCCGTCTGTCCGTCCGTCCGTCCGTCCGTCAGTCGGACGGACCCCCCCACCCCAAAACGAAAATTCTTCGGTTCTCCACGAATTACACAAGTCACCCAAATCAGCGTTAAAAAAGCGGGAGGCGCCGAAAAGCGACTAATTTGCATCACTGTAAGAAGGAAGGCTTATTATGGAAAATAACACATTTACAAACCATTCATGGTTAAAACAAGTAATGGCACAAAATGAAAAGAAACATTTTAATGAACATGTGAGATATTTAATATTCAAATCCATCCTTTGATTGTACTGTAATTTTTCTTAACATCTTTATATTGCTAGGATAATGTCATTAAATAAAGGCAGTTGGGCTGCATAATTAATCATAATGTTACTAAATTGCATTATGGACTAGCGCAATACTCAAGTAGCAGGAAGCACAACATTTATTAAAGGCTAAATATGTGTTAAAATACTATTTAGCATGAACCATTTTCAGAGATATCCCTGCCCCATATCGTGTTCTACAGAATTAACTAAACTTATTTTTTGGTCCAGATCCTGTTTAAAAAAACAACATGATGTCTTTATTATATTTATCAATGTTAATAATGATGCAAAATGAACATTCCCTTTATTATCGTGAATGATGTCGCAGTTCAATATCGATCAAAGTAATCTTACATTGTTGTGTTTTTCAAATCCTGCAGTTCTTCTAGAGATGTAATACATGCTAGTGGTACTCACCCTGAGCATGATGCGGTGTTCAATGTTAAGCAGAATCTTTTTCTTCTCTCTGTAGTCTCTGATGAGGGCGTGCAGGGTGTCACAGTGGGGCACCCAGCCGATCAGGCCTGAGTTAGTGGAGAGGGGGATCACTGCGTAGCGCTGGATGCTGAAGAGACCAACACACATACAAGGGCACAATTCTTTTTCAAGTTTTCAATCATTGTTTGTGCAAACGATGTCCACAAGTGTGCAAGTAAATGTGTGCGTGCTCAAGAATTGGGACAATACTTATTGTAAAATATTGATATTGCATACCATTTTTGATACCACATGGAAAAGTTAACACAAGGTGGATGGCATAACAATAAAGTAGTACTTTTAGATAATTTCTGATAATTGTAACAATGCTTTAACATAACTTTATCAATTGGCAGATAGCAGAACGAATGAACATAAACATTACAAATAATTCAACTTCTTTATTTCTAAGCAAACAATATTCTTCTTTAGGTACTGCACTTGTTCAAGAGCCAGTAAGACTGCCTCACATCTACATTTCTTATTCAAATAGACTTTTAAGTACTTTATTAGATAATACTTTATGATTGCCATGCAACAGTGTTGGTCAAAACAGCATGGTAAATCAGTTCCAATGCAGTATAATGTTTTCTTTAATTACATTTGTTTACAACACTAGTATGAAATGTAGTGGAACTTGTGTGTCTCCCCTGTGGACGACTGTGTGTTTACCTGAGGTTCTTGCGCAAGGACGCGGGGTCGTTGGCCAGCAGCGTGTTGACCAGACCAAACAGCTGCATGACCCTCTCGTCCTGCCTCAGGTCCTCGTGGCCCTTCAACAGGAACATGAACTCGTTGCCATTGCTGCCTGCAGAGGGCGCCACAAAACACCACATTGAGGCACTGCTCCTAAAAGGGTTAACGCGTTACATCAAAAACTTTAAATGGTTGGATTTGGCTGTACGGGCTGTTTTCTCCAGGGCGCTCTGCAGCTGCATCTCCATTAACTCCGCCTGAAGCCGTGTCTAGTGAGTTTGAGCCGGCAATAAATGATTTCATATGAACCCCGTCACTCCTACAGCAATAATCCCTAACTTAATGGGCACCCTTGGTTTGGAATGGCTCTCCGAAAACAATGTGATTTTTGCAGCAGAGCACACAGATGGCCTTACAAGTACACACTGAAAGTACCTTGTGAAGTTCACATGAAGTTCTGTTGTCTGAAAGCATTTTTCTTGATCAATGCACATTGGATTGGATTGAATACTAATATAAGTTTGTATATTAATATTAGAATGGCTTGAATACTAATATTAGGGCTGGTTCGAATATTAGTATAAGGTTGGGTTGAATACTAATATTAGGATGGGTTGAATACTAGTAGTAAGTTATTTATTAATATTAGGATGGTTGCATACTAATATCAGAATATGAAACATAAAAATATGTATCTATGTACTGGATGACGATGACCTTAACGCAGTCCTTTTAGGCAGAATGACAGTGAGAAAATGTACTTAACTCCTTAATTACAGGTGATGTCACTCATCTAATGTTCTTCTATCTTAAACTGTCCTCACTATTCTCAACAGGCCGCATTACAATGATTACCAACACTGTAATTATCATGCTCCCTTTAATGGAGTTAAGTGATACTTCCAGTGGAAGGAGTTGGACTGAGTCCCTGCCTGATCCTCAGTCTGCTCCTAATGACAGTCCCAGTGAGCAATGCATTGTGTGTCACCGGAGGGACAGAGCGCTGACAGTAAATCTAAGCGCTCTGTAGTGGCTGACAGCTCTTAATCTGAAGTCTTGCTCCAGAGGTCAGCTGATTTATTGGCTATCATATTTTACAGAGTATGTTGTGTAGCAGTGATGGGATACATCAGAGCAAGGTACCACACAGAGCCGTGGAGAAGTAAAGTGAACCTTTTTTTTATTGATAATCCGAGGATTTGGCTTCCAGACAAGGTGACTTTATAGTGCAGGGCCATTTTAGAAGCACTTCAGTGCCATATTTAATATAGCAGAGAGGGTGAGAACATGTCACATTTATTTATTTCTGTATTCAAAGTAATGCCAATGGATGGTGTTGAGAGGATTCCTGACAAATTGATCTGACTTGCTTGCAACATTTCTCTCAGGATATTTTAGAATTCCTTTGGTATTAAAGGGGAAATATCCTTTTAAAACTCACTATTTTCAGTGGTTATGCATTTACGTTTGCGTACCTTCTAACCAACAAAGTGTGAAATAGGACAACCCACACCATTATTGTGGGCTGTCTGGGGAATAAAACATGGGCTTCAACAAGCCATTACATTTTGGGTTTGCTTCCTCTATCACATGCAGGCTCATAAGAATTTACTACCCCACATCTGAGTATCACTAACATCTCAACGGCTTGAGTTGCAATTGTTTTGCATAAGAGCAGATTGTGCTTTTGCCAAAAGGGATCCTAAGAAATTAGTACATATAGGGTTGAATACAAATACTAGTATAAGGATGGGTCAAATACTTAGGTTGGGTATATTAGGTAATATACTAATATAAGGATGTGTTGAATACTAATATTAAGGATCAAAACAGGTATATATGGCAGTATGAGAAAAATAATGTGTTTTTAAAAACCCTTGGCAACATACAAGTATGACCCTAAAATAGGAGCATAATATATCCCCTTTAAGTTAACACTTAGTTTAATCTTGTTTAGTTTGTTTTTATGCTGTTGTATTACCCACACACAGAACTTTGCCTTGACGGATGAATTAAAAATAAATAGTGGCCCTGGAGCTGTCTGGGTAAAGATTCTATTAATATTGAATTTTCTCCTAATGCGCTGGCCCACGCCTGCTGAAAGCATACGACTCTGACAACAGATAGTCTTTAATATATTTTCCTAATATAATAGGTTCAGAGCCATGAGGCCTGTGCATTTGCTCCCTATCTTACCCATGATGGTGAGTTTGCGTGGGCGCTGCTTGGAGGTGATGACCTGCAGGGATGCGGCGATGGACTGGATGCGGATGATGGGCTGGTTGGGGTCATAAGTGCCTGGCACGGCCAGCTCCAAGTCCCGGCACATCAGCAGCTTTGGAGACACATATTGTAGCTCCAGAGAGGTCAGCTGCGTGGAAATGTGTTAAGGTGGGGATGCAGAAGAAGAAGAAGAGACAATGAGTTTTTACGAGAGTTTGTGTTATCAATCGATTCAAAATGTAATCGCGTTCACAAATATAATCTGTGATTAAGCACGTTTTTAATAATAGTATATAGTTTCTCAATTTCCTGATACTAAGCTAAGGCATTGACAAAGACACCGTCGCAGAGAGTCGCTGTGATTGCCCTCTGTATAATGTGCACTACACAAGGCATATGCTCGTATGGTAGTATTTTCGCTGTCGCTATCATATTCGGAGCACAATCTGTCCTACAGTGGTTAGCTTGTCCCTTGTCTCCTGAGCAATGTCATGAAACGAGAGCATGATTTAGCTAAATGCCTTTCCCGTTTTAAGCACACCTTAAGCAAACGAGTGCAGTTACCATTTGTCATGGATTAGCTGTGCGGTTTCTACTGCTTACTGATGGCCAGTGGTCTTTTTTTTCCTTTGCCAATTTCACTGCCATACAATTCATGGTAAAAGTCAGCGCTGGAATTACGGGAAGAAGTTATTATTTGCCTTATTTTTTTTCATGTTAAGGTTTCGAAATGAATCGTGTGTCGACATCGAGAGCCCTGGTAAAAGTTTAAAAAAAGATTGCACTAGGAAAACATTGCATCCTTTTTAAGTTACAGCAAAAATGTGTGTGTATACACAACCTCTTGTAAATCACTCCGGAACACTTCAAATTCTCCGCCTGTGTGCTTTCAACCATCAGCGATTTAACTGGCATTAAATCCATTTAAATGCTTTTACAGTTCAATTCTGAATGTACGGTTACTTCATCACAGCATCATGCCGCTCTTGATCTGTGTTTTGATGCATCCTGCAGAGAGTCTATTTCTATGGTAATGCCCAGAGGGTGAATAAAGAAAAGCTCCCAGCATGTTGTTACTATGCTGCTGTGTAGTTCATGCTGATTACTGTAAAGGTACAGCAGGGGGGCTCCTCTACAACAAGACCATGCCCACATTGCCAAGATGCCGCCTCCATTTGTGATGCGAGAGAACTAGAAATGTCTTTTTTCAACTACGCACTCATTGCTGCGAGGAACGATATCTATCAGTTGAATTTCACTGTAGCGACTACACCAACTGTAGTGACTTCATTTAAGAAATCAAATGAGGAAGATTCATGATTGAATTTGTAGTTTCTTGCAAAATGTATGGAATTTTACATTGAATGTTATTAACTGTCATTTTTTCTAATACTCTGAGGCAGAAATCTTCTCTTCAGTAGCGCTTACATACTTGCAGTTTTATTGCTAGCTATATTACCAAGGTTTTTAAAGAGGGATTTGTCTGATTTAAATGACATTTTATTTATAATTTTTGGGGGGTTCTTTAGAGTTTTCAGATTTAAAAAGTGATTAAAAATGAAAAAAATATTTTAAGTCTGGCTTTATCCAATGTGAAGACTTTTATTCCAGTAAAGTTGGCAAATAAGTAGATATTTGATTCCAGAAAACTTACAATATAAAACATTTTTAAATATCAAACTGGCAGAATGTTATGGTGATGGGTGGACATCTTTACACTATTCAAGTGTATCCATGTAATTATGAAGAGCTAGGGCTGCTCGATTATGGCAAAAATCATAATCTCAATTATTTGGGTCCATAATTGTAATTGCGATTATTAAATGCGATTATTCATTGACTTTGAAAACATCCATTTATTGGAGAGAAAAAAATGTGAACAGTATGCTTTTAACAGTTGATTACCCTGAACTTTAAGTATAATTCAACTGAAAAAAAAAAAAATTAATAAAAAAAGAAAGTAATAATAATAATAAAAAAATAATCGTTTTATTTCGATTACGTTGTTTTCGTAATCGTTGCAAGCCATAATCGTAATTAAAATACGATTAATTGAGCAGCCCTATGAAGAGCAGCTGTTTGCTACTGCCTACAGGGTGTATGATATAAATAAGGCGATGTTATCCCATGATGCTCTGCCATCGTTCTTCAACGTTGATCATACCTCTGTCTCATCACTTTCTGCCATCTTTCAACACTACCTCTGGCATCTTGTTTAATGATTTACTGGGACATGGAAGAATGAAAGAAGCCCCTTGTTTCCCTTTCATAATCTTCCAGTATAACATCATGTTACATGACTGAGAGAAAGTAAGCACAGTTCACCTGTCATGAGATCAAAGGTAAAAGTATCTCATCACGTCTGATAAGAGATTGGAATGGACATAAGGGAAGGCAGAAATTGTGGGATGTCAGCTTGAATTTTTTGGAATGTAACTAAATACATTTACTCAAGTATCTTATTTAAGTATTATTTTTGAACTTATTGCACTTTACCGGAGTGTTTCCATAATGTCACTTTACTAAATTATATATCATACTATTTACCCCATACATTTATTTAACACTGAATGCACATACTGTAGTTATTTGTTACTTAATTGTATAAATAGAACACATGACATACTTATATGATATGATGCAGTGCTGTACTAAAATGGACTCCACTTGACAAACTACAACCATTGATGAAAACCCCATAAAACATGATTATATAATAATCAGAATGATATAATACTGTGAAAAATGCAATTTTGTTTAACAAGTACCTTTACTTTTGATACTTTAAAAAATTGTGGCTGATAATACTTGTGTACTTTTTATTATTCTGAAATCTGCAGAATGAGTACTTTTTCATATATTTCCTTGTACTCCAAGAACATTCAGATGATATTATTTTTAAACTAATACTTTTTGTTCCTTGAGTATATTTTTTGATGCTAACAACGTTGTACTCCTAAGGACTTTTACTTACGTAATAGAGTATTTTAACAATAATAGCAATAATTATAAAACTTTTCACCCCCCCCCAAAAAAAACGTAAAATATAAAGCACTTGATATTATGTACACATTAGAAGAAGCTCTGAAAAGGTTTGTGGGGTTTGGAGTTTTGAGCTGTGATTTGAATTAAGACAGATTGATGCATTGGAGTTCCAAGTAAAAGACCATAGTATATCCAATTTTACTTAAGTAAAGGAGTACTTCATCCCCTTCTGCATCTATTTATATTATCCATGTGCAGACAGTAATCCTAAATGAATCTTGGATTGTATAAGAAAAATAAGAGTGCAGTGTCACAGTCTCCCTCACCTGTGGCAGCTGCTTGGAGATGCGTCTGAACACGTGGTAGTAGAGGTCCCAGGCCTGGGTCAGATCTTTGACGTTTCCAGAGCGCATGTACTTCCTGCACCAGTCCTGAGCCTCCATCAGGTCCCTGCCGTAAGCCTGCAGCACGGAGGGAGACAAACACTCTCTGTCTCTGTACAATGACTCACGCAATTAAACGAGAAGGCTTTGCCAAACCTAAGCTATAAAAACTGAATGTCAAGGCATTACAATTCACTGTTCCGACTTGATTAATCTAGGATTTCGGTAAATATTTTGTATTTAATAGCGTACATGTGCAAAGGCAGCCTGAATGGAAAACATCTGATGGTGCTTGCGCACAGCCGGGGTCAACGCTATGACTTATGGCTGTGACGTAAATAGTCCTGTGTACAAACTCACACTTCATTAGTGGTGATTAAACATAGTTCTTTTTGTGATTAAATAGAAGATATACATATTTAGTCATTGATTTTTCGTTTTTGTTTACAGTGTGACTTAGAGGAAAGGGAAGCCAATTGTAATGTTCCTTTAGTGCATTAGTGTTGATTTCCCACAACAAATAGTGTCGTGCAACTTTTACTCTTCGGTGGACAGGAGACATTCAGAGGGTTTAGTTTGTGGTGCTGCAAAAACAGACTGAAATCTTTTCTCTATTCAAACCCAATCTGAGTTGGCACGCACCTGATTAAAAGACGTCTCCTTGAGGGTCTGCGGTCCTCGCTCCATCATGGCATGCAGAGGCTCCAGCACGGCAAACATGCCCTTGACGTTGCGCTCGCCGAAATAAAGGCGCGACGCCTCCTCAAGGCCCTCGTGCCACATCTCGTGCCACAGGATGGCCACTCTGATGAGCTCCTCACTCACCTGGAGGAAGAGAAACACGTTTGATCATACAGCCCCTCCCACTCACAGGTATAAGATATCAGGCATCATGGAAAATATTGACATTTTATATTATTTTAGGTCTTCTACAAGAGGAAAATGACATGTCTATATACAGCATGAAGACAAAAAGACAAGGTTGAACTCTCTACAGCCGAACCAAAAGAGCGCAAATAACTGGTTTGCAACAGCAAATCTACGTTTTCATAGATTTCCAGTAATGCTGCTTTTATGGGTCCAAAATACAAGAATTTAAATCTGGGACAAAAGATGAAGGAGACAAGAAGTAGGAGCTTTGGTTCGATAGTTGATAATTATTTTGTGAAAGTAAAAAAAACAACAACGTTTGCTGCCCTGGCTCCCTGCTGATATCAGGACAGCAGAAATCCTATACATTTTCTGTTGTAGACTGAAAACACCCATTTCGACCTAAGCTAATAAAAAAACTAAATTACAAATAGTAAGGAACGAGACCCTTCAAATGAAAATGTTGGTTTGCAAGAAAGATTGCTTTCGGAGCATGTTTAAGCTTTCTATAAAAAGAAAATAATAACATTAGGGTTTACAATAGGTCTTCTGCTCCGACTTTTGTCTGTGCTAGGGCCCTAAAGAACATCACTTTAAATAGTTTGGCTTATTGCAGGATATTTTCATTGCAGGATTCTTGCTTTTCGAGTTTGTATCTTCAGGAAGCTGATTTAATCGAGTAATGCTGAATGAAATCTCTGTACCAAGATGGCCTGCTGCACCAGCGTGTTGCAGTGTTCACACATGTTCTTCAGGATCTTGTTAGCAGCATTGTGTCGGGCGGTGGTTGTGGACTTGGAGGCCACAGTGAGCGGGTAGATCAAAGCCTGGAGGGGAACAGAGAAGTTACCATAGGAACTGCGTTCTTGATACTGTTATGAAACAGCATTAGCGGTATTGTGTGAGAACACTTACTTGTGGATGATAGCGCCCGATATCTGTCAGCAGCTGGTGGATGAGTCGGCCCACCAGAGCTCGGGGAGTGTCGATTCGAGCTATGAGCTGAGGGATCACCTGCACAGGGAGAGAACATTGAATAACGACTCAGTAACCTTTGAAATATATATAATTCACAGCATAAGTGAAGCAAGACTTGACACTATAGAAATCTTTTCTTGTAAGTGAAGGGAGCATAAAGGAGACATTACCCCTTTCTCCTCAGTGGTGGAATGTAACAAGTACATTTACTCAAATATTTTACTTAAAATTTGAGGTACGTTTTACTTTTACTAATTGAGTGTTTCCACATTATGCTAATGTTTTGAGTACATTTAGCTTATACACAATTTTTTTGTATAGCCGACTACTTCTCCCCCCACTGTTTCTACTGGTCAAACCTTCTCACTATTATAATTTATCTAGCACATTTCATCAACTCTATGCTATCTCTCTCTCTCTGTGTGTAATAGTTTTCCTGTGTGTTTTACCTGTAGCCATGTATCGATTTGAATGGTCTTGATTCCCTCCACCAGGCCTTCACTCACTTCAGGCCAATGACCATAGTCAAACCACAGAGTCAGAACCCTGAACAGAAGAAAAAATAAACACTATTCAATCTTCTTCCAAATGATTAAAAGACAATAACTAGTACAATCACATTTAACCACTAGAGGTCCTCAGTGTTCTGGACTGGGAATATGGGAGCAGTTTGTTTGCTTGGACCTCTTTTCCCACAGTGTGTTTGAGTCATTAAACTCACCTGAGTGTGTCCTGCAGGTTATTGCCTCTGGACAGGGAAATTGAGCGGAAGAAACCTTGAACAGCAGGAACTGTGTAGAGGAGCAACGTCTTCGATAGGTCCTGTGGAGGCACAGCACACAACAGGCACTTCTTGAAGCAAGACAAAACACTACATTGGACAACTGATACTCTTGGTTTCAACTTAACGTTGGGAAGGCAAAAGTTTGGAGAGTCACAATGAATTAAGTTAGGAAATTATAGGGCTGCCCTCTCTTATTAAATATTCTTGACTTATAGTTGTTTTGGTCATAGCTTTATTTACTAAATTATTAATTTCTCTAATGGTTTTTCATGGTTTTTAATGTAAACGACTTACTCCCAAACTTATGAGCACATCTCCGGTAAACACAAGATTAAGAGTGATGCTCATGCATGATAACTTGTGAAAACTCACTTTTAGAGATCTGTCGATTAGAGCCTTTAAAGAAAAGTCAACAAAATGGTTCTTGTTTTATTTAACACATTTTCTTTAGCGAAAAAGTCTTTCAAAACTCATGCTGTCTAACTTATAATTCCTACATAGGTTTCACCGGGAGTGCTGTAGTAAGAGAATACCACTACATTTTAAACGTGGATGGGTGTGCAGAGGGCTTAGTCCTCTGTGACTTTCACCTCATTCAGAGTGACAGACGGAGGTTTAAGTTAAACAATTCTAGGGCTGCCCGCTCTTATTACATTTTCTTGACCTATAGTTGTTTTGGCCTAAGTTGACTGAGAATTATTTGTCAATTATGGATTTAAAAAAAATGCCTTTTCCTGTCAAAAGACTAATTTCCAAAGAAATGTATGAGCACATCTCCGGTAAATGCACATTTTAAAGTGGTGCTTTGCAGGATACTTTGTGAAAACCTACTTTTAGAGATCTGTTGATTAAAGCCACAAATGGATGAGTCAATAAAACGATGTTCGTTTTCTTGTCACATTGTTTTGACCTATACTTGTTTTGGTCTTGCTTGAATGAAAATGAGTTTGTCAATTAGTCATTTTTTAATGCTTATTCCTGCTGGATGACTTATTTTCAAGAAACGTACAGGGGACACACACAATTTAATGTGGTGCTTTTGCATGATTCTTTGTGGAGAAATCATCTAATCGACTACGATTTTCACAAGTCAAGCGACCCTACAAAATGTATAACTTTTAACCAGGGACAGCAGAGGGGTTAGGGTTTGACTAAAATGTACTTTGCAGGTAGTGTGTGTGTGTGTGTGTGTGTGTGTGTGTGTGTGTGTGTGTGTGAATAGGGATTAATGTTCTGTCACTCTCACCTCGCTGGCTTTTTTCTGTCCGGGCGAGGGCACAGGACTGTGTTCGGTGCTGTCCGCCTCACTGTCACTGTTGCTGGCCTCGCTGTTTGCGCTGCCGCCGCTCGCGTGTCGCTTCTTCTTCTTGTCGTCCCGTCCTGCGTTCTGGTGTTTGTAGTGCAGCACTGCCTCAAAGTTCATCACCGCCCAGGCATGCCAGGCCTACGGGGAAAATGGTACAAACTAGTTGAAGATGTATTTCTAAGAAGTGGTTACTGGAAACAACTCGCATGTTTGTTCATGATGTCATTTTCCAGTTTACTAAGGGACAGTTTTGTCCTGGGGGGCTGCAATTATACTGATCCAAACATAAGAGTTGGAAATAATGGATATGGAGAGGGATGTGTGTGTTGAGCGACATTTGTGTAGCCCGCAGCACATGCATGGACAAGAAAAATAGGCAGCCATGTCAGCTTTTCCATCAGCTCGTATCTTGAACGCATCAGAAGAGGCACAATCTGACGATCAAAATAAATGAACCATGTGCAGACAGAAGCTAAACACACAATGTTATGACATGTTCAGGGCGATAAAATGGCTTCTTAATTTCTCCTGGTGACACAGTGTCAGGGCGACCTCCTGCCGACACAGCTGGAATTTTACTGCGGCCACAGAGTCAAAATTGAAAGGTTAGAGTTAAAAGGGAGATAACTGACCTTGTACCAGCTGCGGTCATGCTCAGTGGAATGGCTGTAATACTGCAGCACTTTGGGGATGGTGCTCTCGTTGATGCCCTGCAGACTGAGCTGCCACTCCCCGAGCTTCAAGAAACATCTAGATAAAGAAAAGGGAGAAATTGAAAATAAATAATATTACATTTCTACTTTATTTAAGAAAAACACGAGTATAACAGAATATATTCCGTAGTGTGCACCAACATCGAACAAATGTCATGCTTGGGTACCCAACTGCCTTATGGTAGCAAACCAATGACAATGACAAACCCTTGAACTTCTATAATAAACAATATTAGATATTTTCTGTCATTCAGCAGAAAAATGTAAATCCCCGCCTACGGCTGTATGTCTCCGTCAACCAGTCAAGTTGCACTTTACATCCGTGTCTGTCCAAAAATTTATAACTTTATTTATATTATCCTATTAGACAATTGCATGAAATTGTCTTAGTAAGCATACCAATTCTGGAGTTATAGCCCCAATGTGTTTTTTGAGGGGGCCTTGACCTTTGACCACCAAAATCAAATTATCAGTACATCCATGAGTCCAAATGGACGTTGCCACATTTGAAAAAACAAACAAACACACAAACCTCAAGGCGTTTAAGAATGGGACAGATGGAAAGACAGACCTACATAGGGACGGACACACAAAAAGAAAAACAGCCGTCTCCAGCGCCAAGTAATAAAAGACCATTTAAACTATTTTTAGACAGTAAAAGTTACTGAGGTCGGAGGGCAATGTTGTTAATCGAAGCACTGCAGTAACAAATAATTCAATTGGCTGCATGACATCATTAGGGATGGCGAAAGAAAAAGGCACAAATCACAGATAAACATCACCATGAGTGCTCAGTGCTCATGTTGTCATTGCTAATAGAGTTGGCAGTGATATCGAATACATCCCAAGGGCAGCACATTAAAAAGAAGTGAGATATTGATGTGATACTTGGATACCATGCAGTCAGAAATATTGCTCCTTGGAAGCAGTAGTGCATTTATCCGCTGAAAGTTTCTGGGATCACATCCGGAGATTTTCAATTATCCAATCCACTTTTCCATTTAACCCGACAGTGAGCCCTGTGGCATCCCTGAGGAGGACTTAGCCCAATCCATCAGCCTCACAAACACAAATCCTTACAGTCAAGCAAGTATTGTTTGGCGGTGCCAAGACATATAATTCACATACAACTACACTCAACCGAGAAACTGGCAAGCGCTGCATTGTCGACCTATCCGCCGGCTGTCTCTTTCGGGATTACGTCTTCTGAGTGCTTTTCCATGCGAGCGTACAGTTTGGGTTCAACTGTGCCAAAGTGTTTCCGTAAACTTTTAACAGGTTGATATGTTGGGAAAGAAGCAAGGGGAGGATGGGGTTATTGGGGACGTTGGATATTTATTTTGGAAAGGAGACGCCAGGGTTATAGATTTTAAATAGCAGTGAAAGCAAAGAGGAGGCGTCTGTGTGATTGTGCGGATGCCAGTGTCTGACTGAGCAGTCCAGGTGTGCTCCATACCACGCAGCTGACCTGTATTCACAAAAGTGTGTCAGCACGTCTGGAGAGGACCCGTCCTGACTGACTTTATACAGGTGTTCTCCCCAACATGCATTCCTCAGTCTGGAATATGCAAAAAGTGCAACAAAAATAAAAGCCCATTCAGCCTGTTGTCCCGCTTTTGAGTTGTCATGTATGATTTATGAGATGGGAGGTTTGCACATGATGGCTGTGTGTTTGTGAACATGTCCAGATGAGACTAGTGTGTGATTTACTGTACATAGGATTATACCTGTCTGCTCACGAGGAGCAACTCTGGCTTGTTTTGAGACTTTTGACCAAAATGGTACACAACGCAGTGCAGACAAACAAAAACATATTGTACCCTTTACTGTACTGGCAATCGGCTAACCTTTAATCCCTAAATGAGACAGTGCTTAATATCTTCCTCTAATATTTTCCCAAGCTCACAACTTCTTTCAAGTCATTCCCAATGAATTTTGGAAATACAACATTTTCCATTGTTTCATCCCCTAAACCAACATCTGAAAACATGTGATTGCTATTGGAATGTCCCATTCTTTGAAAACATATTGTTGTGTTGACAATAGCTTGAAACAGAACCCAAACTGTATCTTCCTCTAAGTTACTAAGTTTACATACTAATATTCAAAAATGTGTTCCTCTATGACAATATTTTCAATTTGATACGATCTTGCCAAGCACACCTTTTGGATATTGCGATAATGTCTAAACTCCAAGTTCTCCAATAAAGATATGAGGGATACTGTATGTCCATATTATTCTGGGTTGTGAAGCATTCTTTGGACATATAAACAACGCATCCGTAATATTGTTCTTAATTAGGTTTTTACCAGAGTTAACGGCCAATACAGTTTTGCAAAATTTGCAGAACGTTGACAAAGGCTAAACACTTGAGCAAGGTGACTGCTGTTGGAGGAAGAAGGAATTTTAGGTTTTTATTAGGCATGTGAAGCCAAAGGACATATGTTGAGTTAACATATGTCATATGTCATGGGAGCGTTTAAAGTTAAGAGATATTTATTTGTATTAGGCATGTAAACATTTTTAGAACAAGGGCATTTAAATATTGTGTAATTACATGATGTGCCTTTACAGTAAATCTTGTCGGTGAGGCAATGTGATGATAGTGGAAAGGTGCCAAGGCTGGGCCAGGGCTGAAGAGCACACCCAATGGGAGAGGGGTAAACCACCAGCACTGTGGACGACATACACCTGGTCTCTGATACTTGTAGGCACTGCGCCGCCACTGGTTTGTGACACATGGTTTTGTGGAACAAACTGCCAAAAGGCATGACTTTATTGAGAAGTTTGAGGTGAACAATTCAGAGGTTCTGGCTAGCTTTGAAAAAGACCACAGGATGCCAATAGACTGGTAGAAAGGTGCTATGCCAGATTGGGTAACACTAATTGCAAAGAAGTGGAACATACTGTGTACTGTGTGAGAAGGCAAACAATACATGAGGTTACTTTTTCCTTCCTTCAGCATGTTGCTTTGTGTGTTCTCCATTGAGCTGGACTGGGTGGTTTTTCTAAGATATTATAATACCGAACCACATCTTAATACATAATGAGTATTTGGCATTACTTTGGGTGATTTTAACTTTCCCTCAGGTTTTATGGTTTCTATCCCAGTATTCTTTAAACCCTTGTTGTTTGTTTTTTTCCTACACATATGGAAGTTGACAATGAAGTTCCCTATGACTAAACCTACTGTAAGGGGAAACATTTGTTTTGCTCCCCTTCTCCTTTAATATCAACTTAAATTCCTTGCTGTATTATATTGTTTTCATAATTATTTCACTATTTACATTAACATGGGACTTCTATGCTGACCACTATCTTTTTCTTCATACACTTACTTCACTCAGAATTATGCTTATATGACTGATATACAATGCATTTTACTTTATGGTTACATATATTTCACTGTTTAATATTAAAAGCATTTGACCTCATGGTCAAATCAGATTGTACTGACTGGTCTCGATAAGGTATCAAGAAATTGTTATGTTGAAATATATCAGTCTACTAAATACATTACTTGAATAATTTAGAATGAGCCTTTGATGGAAGTTTGAAATCTATAAAGGCATGAGATCACAGCTAATTACACCAGATAATAATGTGTGTTACACTTTAATAAAATGAACTGATATTTTAAAAAGTAATTTTAATGAAATGGCAGTGAAAAAGGTCTGGAATTGTATCTGCATTTTCTGGCTAAACCTATACTCACATTTGAAAAAAACCAGAGTTGATATCCATCGTTGGCCTTTTTCACAGCCAGACAGTTTGATTTGTAATAGTAAGAAAAGCACAGGTGTTACTAATAACACTAACAATTCTATTTAGGTGCCCCAGTGAACCTCCATCCACAACAACATCCTTAACCCTTAAACTGAAGCAGCAAAATGGAATTCAGCCATTAATAATTTAACTATTTACACCTGTGCTTGTGAAAAACTGTGATAATATGTGAAACAGTTGGTCCTGTGAGAAGGCTCATTAGGCGGTGAGCTGCTGCTGTTACTGTTACTGTGATACTTTCATACCTGGCCATGAGTTTGTGGAGCTCCTGCTTGTGCTGTTGGTCCTCGGCTGCGATGGCGTGCTGGGCTTGCTGCTGCATCCCTTGCACAAAGTGCTGCATGTGCTGGAAGGCATCAATCTTGAGAGAAAAACAAAACAAATACCAACAGCATGTAAAGACTGTCATTGAGAGAAATATGTCTGTCTGTTGGGTTATGGTTGTTTTTTAAATCAATTTGGTTATTGAGTTGTGCAGAAATGACTCTTAAAACTCAGGAAATAAATTTGCGTTTTAGTCCCTCTGGTTAGTTTGTCTAAAAGTCAATGTTTTTTTGACAGCTGTCAAACTGAATATCTGAGTAAGTAAAATGTGCTTTACTAAAACACAGGTGCACACGAAAGTATTTTTGAGTGATTGATTGATTAAAACAAGCTAAAGAGATTTGTATGTTTTGTTCTATGAAATTAAATGTATCAGAGTCTGGCCGGCCAGTATTGGCATATCCAGCCATGCAGTGGGGTGGTTTGTGAACTACCTCTCTGAAAGGTCCCAATGTGTTCAGTTTGATGGGCTCTCTTCTGAGTGGTTAAACATTACAAATGGTGTTCCCAAAGGTTCTGTTTTAGGTCCGCTATTATTCTCCATCTATATCAACAGTTTAGGTCAAAATGTGGATAGAGCAACTTTACATTTTTATGCGGACGATACCGTGATGTACTGTGCAGGTCCCTCCATTAAGGAGGCTGTTGTTAAATGACAGGCTGTTTTTAATATTATTCAGACTCAGCTCTCTAAACTAAAGCTTATTTTAAATGTTAATAAAACTAAGGTAATGCTATTTTCAAAAGTCAAAAAGACACAGGAGACAGCTTTGGATATTGTTACTACGCAAGGACAAGTACTAGAAGTGGTTGCCTGTTATGAATACCTTGGTATCTGGCTTGATGATTGCCTCTCTTTTAAACTTCGAGTCAATAACCTGCTTACGGAGCGTCCACACAGCAGCGTGCGTTGACGCTTGGCGGTGGGCGTGTCTGAAGCTTGGGGAGTCACGCGAGCAACGCGACCAACAACCAATCACATGAATCTCCCACCCCCGACATACAAAGCAAAATGCTAGCATTCCATGCTTGCTAGCATTCCATGCTANATTGCCTCTCTATTAAACTTCAGTTCAATAATCTGCTTAGAAAGTTGAGGGTTTCTTTTTCAGAAACAAGTCCTGTTTCTCAACATTTGAAGCCAGAAAAGGCTCTGTGACCTTTTTACCTGTGCTGGATTATGGTGATCTGATTTATATGAATGCACTGCCAATTACCTGATCAAGTTAGATGCCGCCTATCACAGTGCACTGAGATTTGTTACTAATTGTAAAGTACTTACTCCTCACTTTACCCTGTATGCCAGGGCAGGTTTGCCTTCTCTTACTGTACGGAGGCTCAGTCATTGGTACACGTTCATCTATAAAGCCATGTTGGGTAAACTAACATCTTATATCTGCTCTCTGATCACACGGAGAGTTGCAGGTAGCTATTGCCTGAGATCTCATGATGTGGTTTTGTTAAATGTGCCAAGTGCAAGGAATTACTTAGGTACGAAAGTTTTTATGTGCGCAGCTCCTCTTGCTTGGAACAGTCTGCAAAAAGAATAGAAACTGAGCCATTTGGTTCCACTGCATGTATTTAAAGCTCGGGTAGATGCTATGCAATCTGATACTGTTGGTACCTGTAAATGTAGATAGGTATGTACATGGTAACCCTGTATGTTATATGATATCCTTTTTGTTTTTATGTCTTCATGTGTAACCTACTTGCTGCAGGTCTCCCTTGAAAAAGAGATCGATTATCTCAATGGGATTCACCTGGTTAAATAAAGGTTTTAAATTAAATGAAAAGGAAAGGAAGGAAGTACACGGTGGCTGAGTGATGAGGTGATCCTGACCCCTGCGTTATAATTGAGTTCCAGTTTTAAACAGATCAAACTCCCCTCTCTCTCAGTTATCATTTTTCAGAGCCACCTCTTTCATCCCCTTTACCCTTCCTCCCCTCTCCACTCTCCTGACCTCTCCTGTTCCTCTTCTCCTCTTATCAGTGTCACATCTTTCTGCTCTCCCACCTGTGTGGTTCAGTCATGCGGTCATTCCTATCCTCAGCCTTCCTTCACACATTATTTCCCTTTTTCTGAACTTACTTGGGTATCCAAATGTATGCAGACATCATTCAAGGATGTAAGGTGACATATTGCATTTGGAATTTCTCTCAATCGCTTTTGATTATATTGATATGTTGATATATGTCCCTGTGATTGTGCAGGTGTGTGATAAGAAAATGCATTTTCTCTCATCCCTGTTATAATTTCCTCAAAGTGAAACTGTATTTTTAAAGTGACCAGAAGGCCAACCGGTTAAGCACTGATAGATGAACCTGAGGCCAATCCACAAGTTGATAAACCAAAACAGGAGAAAATGTTCACTTTGCTACACTCTCGAAAATGTGACACGTTTTGCTTGAAGATTTGACTTACACAGCGTGTCACACAGAGAGGAAACAACCAAGTTCTTCTTCCCCATGGATGTGTTTCTTTGATTGTACATAAAATAGCTTTGACAGCTTTATTTTATGGGCATCGGTCTCATTTTCCTTCTGTCACATTTTTCAATCTTTTTTCTGCAATAGTAATCTATTGTTTAGCATCCCTGTGTGAAACACAAAACCTAGTGACAAGAAATAGAAACTACAGCATGAGTGATACAAAGCTGTGATGTGGAAATGTCAAGCGAGTTTGAACTTGATGATGCAAGGTTATTTTATTTATTTCACCAGGTTACGGTTCAGAGATTCAGAAAAGGGAAGAAAGAAGACGATTATGTGATTATTCTGACAGGAGAAGAAACAAATATCTCTGTAGGTTAAATTATGATTTGATATTGATAACCTAGCATGTACAGAAGCGTGGTGTCACGGTTTGTGAAACAAGCAGGACCCAAATGCAGATATAAACTGAAAATTCCTTTATTTCAAGGCTATGATATGCATAGCCTATATATATCTAGGCTATGATATGCCTAGTGTGTATATATATATATACACACAATGACAAAACCGAACACTCACCACAGAACTAGTCATGGAACAAGACGAACTGACCAACAGACAGAAAACCCAGAACGTAAATACACACAAGACTAATCACACAACAAGGCACAGGTGAGGAGGGAGGAGAAAACACAGGGGCCCAGGTGAACATAATCAGACACACCAGGGAAACTAATGACATGAGGAAAAACACAGGGAAAAGGACCAGACAATAACCCAGAGGAAAACATGACATGGGAAAACAGCAAAAACACCCAAACCTACAAAACTATAAACGTGACATAACATGAGAATCGTGACATAACCCCCCCCTCAAGGGACGGATTCCAGACGTCCCAAAAAAACTAAAGTCCAGCAGGGTGGGTGGATGGGGTCTGGAGGACGGGTCTCGGGCGGACGGCCCGGGGGCAAGGCAGAGTTCAAAAAGGGGAATTCGGGCGGACGGCCAGGGGGCAAGACAGAGTCCGAGGAGGGGTGAAGACCAGACAGCTCCGGAGGCCGGTCAGGAGCCGGTGTCGGCAAGATCCCCCATGGAAGAGGACACAGGACCGGCAGGACCCCCGGCAGGAGAGCAGTCGGCGGAATCCCCAACGCGACAGGACATGGAGTTGGCAGGACCCCCAGCGGAAGAGTAGTCGGCGGGACCTCCAACGTGGCAAGACATGGAGTTGGCAGGACCCCCGGCAGAAGGGCAGTCTGCGGGACCTCCAACGGCTCCAGACATGGAGTTGGCAGGACCCCCGGCAGAAGGGCAGTCTGCGGGACCTCCAACGTGCCAAGACATGGAGTTGGCAGGACCCCCGGCAGAAGAGTAGTCTGCGGGACCTCCAACGGCACAGGACATGGGGTTGGCAGGACCCCAGGACCTCACAAACGGCTCTGGACCTAGGAGGTTGAGACCAGGATCCGGAGGCACGTCAGGAGCAGTCTCGCGGGATCCCCAATGGCACAGGACATAGGGCTTGGCAGGCACCCCCGGCAGAGAGCAGTCTGCGGGACCTCCAACGGCTCAGGACATGGGGTTGGCAGGACCCCGGCAGAAGAGTAGTCTGCGGTCCCCCAACGCGACAGGACATGGGAGTGCAGGAACCCCGGCAGAAGAGTAGTCTGCGGGACCTCCAACTGCACAGGACATGGGGTTGGCAGACCCCCGGCAGAAGAGTACAGTCTGCGGGACCTCCAACGGCTCAGGACATGGGTTTGGCAGGACCCCCGGCAGAAGAGTAGTCTGCGGGACCTCCAACGGCTACAAGACATGGAGTTGGCAGGAACCCCGGGCAGAAGGCAGTCTGCGGGACCTCCAACGCTCAGGACATGGGTGAGACCCCCGGCAGAAGCGGGTAGTCTGCGGACATCCAAGCGACACTTGAGTGGTTGTTCGGCCAACAGAACCGCGGGAGCGGCGCGCGGACGGACAGGCAACAGGAGACGAGGTGCTGGAGTCGGGCCGGTATGCCACTCCTGGCGTCGGATGGACGACAGCCATCAGGACACGGGGAGCTGGCGTCGGAGACGGACAGCCATCAGGACACGGGAGCTGGCGTCGGACGGACAGCCAAACCGGAGACGAGGTGCTGGAGTCGGCCGGTATGCTGACAGGATATTGGGGAGCTGGCGTCGGACGGACAGCCAACAGGAGACGAGGACTGGCGTCGGACCTATGTTACTAGCCGACAGGACCCGAGAGGGGCTGTCGGTTCCGGATTCGGAGCAGCAGGTGGACGTGAGGAGCTGGTTCGTCGGACATGGTGTACAGGCAATCCGGCGACTGAAGCCGGGAGTCATGGCCTGTAATGCTGACAGGATCTGAGCTGGCGTCAAACGGATAGCCGTAAGGACGGTCTGGAGCGGAACATGCTGTAAGTCGCGGTTCTGAGGGCCGGAAACAGGACATGTAAGGTCCGGTATCTGGAGCCGAGAAACTATGGCTGTAAGTTCCCGGTTCTGGGCCAGGAACCCATGGCTCCTTGGGCGTTGAGTGCTAGCTTGACCTTGCGGACTCCAAATCCTACTATAGCAGCCGCACTGAAGATACTCCTGGTGGGACCTCCAATAAAGCCAGACGCAACGTTCCAGAAGGTATGCATCCTGGACAGGAGGCAGGGAACATGGGCGGAAGCCACGGGGACTTCAGACAGGNGGACACGTCTGGCACTGCAGGATTTGAGTCCCTGGTGACGTAGTGTGTTACTGATGGTAGCCTTTGTTACTTTGGTCCCAGCTCTCTGCAGGTCATTGACTAGGTCCCCCCGTGTGGTTCTGGGATTTTTGCTCACAGTTCTTGTGATCATTTTGACCCCACGGGGTGAGATCTTGCGTGGAGCCCCAGATCGAGGGAGATTATCAGTGGTCTTGTATGTCTTCCATTTTCTAATAATTGCTCCCACAGTTGATTTCTTCACACCAAGCTGCTTACCTATTGCAGATTCAGTCTTCCCAGCCTGGTGCAGGTCTACCATTTTCTGTCTGGTGTCCTTTGACAGCTATTTGGTCTTGGCCATAGTGGAGTTTGGAGTGTGACTGTTTGAGGTTGTGGAGTTCAAACAGGTGCCATTAATACAGTTAACAAGTGGAGGACAGAGGAGGCTCTTTAAGAAGAAGTTACAGGTCTGTGAGAGCGAGAAATCTTGTTTGTTTGTAGGTGACCAAATACTTATTTTCCACCATAATTTGCAAATAAATTCTTTAAAAATCAGACAATGTGATTTTCTGGATTTTTTTCTTCTCATTTTGTCTCTCATACGGTAGTTGAAGTAGACCTAGGATAAACATTACAGGCCTCTCATCTTTTTAAGTGGGAGAACTTGCACAATTGGTTGCTGACTAAATACTTTTTTGCCCCACTGTATATGAGAGTAACACATGCGTCACTTCCGGGCAAAAATGACGGATCCGCCCACTTTTTGGGGAAAACAAAGCTGTCAATTGAATGGTGGTCAATTCAAATTCTGAAGTTTTTGCCAATCCGATAAGAAATGTAGGAAAACCGTGGATCTTCAAAGAGCCCGATTACAATGGCCAGACAGGCAAACATTTACATAAAATCATTGGAAATCGACGAGCGGGCTCGATATATGGTTAAATATAGCAGTTGGCGATCGATGTCCATAGATGAGAGTGACATCTACATCACTTTACGACCCCGCCCACTTTTGGGGGAAACAACGCTGTCATTTGAATGGTGATCGAGTCTGAAGCCACAGAGCTCTTCTGTTACTGTCCTTTCTTCTTAGAGGAAGTACAGAAACACGTAACTCTGGATTTGTTTTAATGTTTGAGGTGCAATAAACGACACAGCAGCTTTTTGGCATGATAAAACAATTATTTTCCGCCTCGCTCATGAGAGCAACAGCTGGCGAAATTACGGCCTCGCCTACTGATTTTTAATTTAACGATATATCGAGACCGATCGTCGATTCCAAATTATTTAATGTCATTGTTTGCCTGACTGGCCATCGTAATCGAGCTCTTTGAAGATCCAAAAATCCACGGTTTTCTTTAATTTCTGATCGGATTGGCAAAAACTTCAGAATTTGTATTGACCGCCATTCAAATGACAGCGTTGTTTTCCCCCAAAAGTGGGCAGGGCCGTAATTTTCGCCCACAAGTGACGTAGGTGTTACTCTCAATAAATAAATAAATATGGTTTATATTATATTGTGTTAATATAATATATATATATATATATATATTATATTTATTTATCAATCGACAGCATTTTATTTTAAATACTCTTTTTCTCAATAAAACATAAATCTACATGGCTTGATACTGTCATTCTTTGTAAAGCCGTCCTATCAACTGTTTGATGATAAACAAATATAACATTTTGTCTGGGACATTGAAGTCTTCCGAGAAACGTTGATTGGCACAATTTTTTTAGCGGGAACAATGTTTTATGCATGTGTATTTTCAGATTTGTCCGGTCAGCAGTACAGCTGGCTCTAGCAGGAGCAAAGCTTAAGCTCACACTTACCTAAACCCCCTAATGAGAGCTGCAAGAATAACTATATAACACCTGGCCATAAATGTGGGTGTGTTAATGTGTGTTTGGGGGGGTGTATACTGTATGTCAAAGGGTGTGTGATAGACAAATGGCACAGGGGAGAGCAGTCCAATCTTACAGTATGAGGTTAGGTCACCACTGCTGGCAGGTCGAAAGCACAAATCGTTCTGGACGAACATTTTATAAGTATTAGTATTAAGTGAGGCTTACTTCATCCACTGTTGCCATGGATATAACAAGATTAATAACCACAACATTAACCTAGATGTGATAGTTGAGTTGGTTTTACTGATTTTAATTGTATTAAGGGACTTTCAAAGCTCTCAGAAGTTACACAACACTGAAACATATTTAAAATAATGAATGTGAATTCAGCCAAAGTGCAACATTAGTGAGCAGCTGCAATTTCTGAAAAACTGTAAGTCGGTCAGATCAGAAGAACACTTGCACATCTTACCAATCACTTTCCTGATTTGTACATTTACAATGCAAAAGGGGTGAAGGAGCCCAAAACAATTGTGAGGGTGAAAAGAGGTGCTGCAGCACAGGGAGAAAAATGAAGACCCTTTTCAACATTAAAGAATGTAAAAATTTCACAGTATAGGCAATAAATACTGATATGAAACTGAAAATGAGCATAATAGTGCCTCTTTAATATTATAATAATTTACCATTTAAGATAACTGTGCTCATTACATTGTCAAGTGAAGCTTGGTTTCATTTTATGCTTTATGTTTACTATGAATTACCTATAACTAATATATATATATATATATATATGTATATATTAAATGTTTTGATGGTTCTATATTCATGTTCTTTTATCATTTATGATTATTATAGTAATTGTTATGTAAAGATACACAAACTAGACCTTGTCTCTTGCTGAAAATATTATAATATAATGGTGACCTGTTGGTTCATTAACGCCTTTTTTTAAGCTCAACACCTCTTGTTGACCCCGGTGGGACTGATTTATATTCTGGAATGGGCAATGAGGAGGCTGGTTGCAATTTCAATGCTCCGTTTTACAGATGTAGTTTGTTGGTGTTAATGTTTCTCAGGCTGTTTCCGTCACTATGCTAAATAAATTACATGTTTAGGTCACTAATGTTCCAGGTATTTAAACCCCTCCTTATCTGGCATATGTAAAACTGTGATTGTTGCCTTATGTTGCAGAACAAATCTCTATATAAAGGTAATCAGAACACTAAAAGATAACAGTGGAAGACTTACAACAAAAAAGTTTAAAAAAAGTTAATTATAAAGCATCGACTCAACCTAAAACATTTGTATGCTTTTACCTTGCGGGCGCTCTTCCACATGTACTTCATATAAGCGTAGGTGACGTGGGGGTGGGCAGTGGGCAGGGGGTGATCGAGTTGTTTGGAGGGGTCGACACCCAGGAGGAGCACCAGGGTCTTATGTGCCAGGGCCTGGAGGGATAAAGAAGTAAAATATCAAATGATTTCACAGAAGGTTCACAGCTTATACGAATCAGATTGATTTAAGGGACCCCAAGACAACACAATCTTGATTCAAATATTACCTTTATGTGGTTTCATTAAGATTATACTACAAGACACTCTAAGGGCTTTTATTTGCAATCAACATTATTAATCCAAAAAGGAATTTAATCAGCAAAGCTTAGTAACACTTAGATATCATTGCAATGCATCTCAGCTAACCAACATCTATAGAAATTGTAAATGTTGATATATTTTATTATTACTGTAAAGTCTCATCGACATCACATTGAATTGAAATATGCAATCTGTGTCTACCTTTTATTTTAGGTATAACTTTTGAAATCTTATAGAGGAGGTTTCTTCACAAGCCATTTGTTGTGTTTGTATATGTGTGTAAACATGAAGATTTGTTTGTTTTTAATAAACTACAAAACTAAAATCTCAGTGCTTCAATAAGTGCTAAAGATTTTTCTCTCTTTTTTAAAGACAAGAATTATTAATGGGGTCATTTTTTCCAAAACCTTGCAATTACATTTCCTGCTAGGATTGACGTTGGCAAATCACATCCTGTTTTTGCCATGTGTGCGTCAAGAATGAGTAGAAAGAAAAATGTGCTTTTTGTCTGCCCTACCCTGGAATCAATTGGAACAACACTGAGGTATGGGGTAAGGATGGAAAATTGCCCCACCTTAATTGTGCAGATATGCTGGCTCAGGTTTCTAAACAGTGTGATTGAGGGTGCTGTGTTACATTCATCAGCGCCAACATAAAACAGATTGAAATGAAGTTTGAATTTCATGGCCGGAGTTCATGGTTGCACCTCATTTCCCTTTCCCGTATGACACTGATTTATTCATCCTCAGGGGGTCAGATGAGAAAATACAGAAGGGCTTTGGACACATTTCTCAAAGTACTGACCAGGCGTCCGCTCCTGCCACAGAGGCTGGCGTACTTCAACCAAGTCCTCATGTCCTCGTGGGGGCTGATGACCAGCGATCTGACCATGAGGATCCTTTGCCAGTCCTCTACGATACGCTGACAACCCTGAAGCAAAAGACACAACAAAAAGATTATATGGGAAGGACGGTTAAACCCAATACCCCTTTGTTACTCCCTTCAGAGAGAGAAACAAACTTGTTAAACTTGAGAGAATTAACACACGTGAGAGAGGGGTAAAGATCAAACCCAGTGGGGCAACTATTATTTAAAGTGGTCCCTGTCCTAACGATGTGAGTACAAGTTCGCATGCCAGAAAAAAAAAAAACAATAGTCTGAATTGATACATTCATATACGTAACATTAACTGTCTTGAATACTCTATTAACCACAACCTCGACTCCATCATTGTGATATAAAACAGCGCTTCAGCTCTGATGGGGAAAAAAGCATGTGCTATGTAATCCTCTCTATGATTTGAGTTCGAGACAGATCTACAGGGGGTAGACGATGTAATACAAACTTTTCATGGAAAACTTGATTATAACTGCAAACACTGCTTCAAGGAAGGTATTACGCTGCATGGCAACTAGCTGAAACAAACAATTTATTTAAATCAGTACTGTGCGGAGCTTTGTTAACCAACACAATTACATCTACAAGTTGGCAATGAGGGGTTGTGCAATATGATGCCATTGTCAGTAGGTGTATTTGTGTGTATGTAAACATGTAAATAAGTCATCTGTTGATATGATCAAGTCTTTTAATATTTACTATGTAGTATGTATGATTTTTTTATTATCTCTGGAACTGCAGGATTGCCCAAATAAAACTATTCTTCTAGGGATAATAAAGTATTTCAAAGATAACACAAATCTTTGTGGACCAGTCTGTTCGATTGTATTTGTTCTTCTTATTTTCTCTTCTTTTTCTTGGTATTGTAATGTACTATGGACACTCCATAATTGCATCCAGCTGTGTGATGTGTAAAGAATCTACGTTGACCTTTAGTTAACATAAAAACGTGACATGTCCTCTCATGAGCTAGAGTTTATCCTTTCTAGGTCACTGTAGAGAAAAACATGGCACTGCAACATGTCAAGCTTTGTGGAAGAAGACACGCTCCAAATGCAGATAGGAAGAGTTAATTCTAGGCCAAGGTAAATGTAACGATGTTACCGTAAAAATGTTATTATCTAACTTTACATTTCTACCAACAGATCTCTCTAAATCATTCACATTGCCTCCTTAAGTGTTAACCTTATCTGAAACTTTTATCCTCTCTTCCTTAGATCGTTTAAGAATGTTGAGAAGCCTTTTTTAGTGAGCAGCTGAACAAGCAGAGGCTAGAATAAAATACTCTATTACCTGAAATAGGTAATACATGATGGGGTAAGGGGCTGAGAGCAGGTCAAATCTGGCAGAAGCTAAGCTCATTGATCTAAAGTTTAGTTTGAGTTTAACTGCAAGAGATTCCTGACATTCTGCCGAGAAGAAGAAAAGGAAATGCCAAATTATCCAGTTCAAGCAACTTGATTGAAAGCAACAACTGTTTATCCTTGGGGGACGTCATGGTGGACAGGTGGTCTAAAAGCACAACAATCCAAGTTCAACTGTAGCCGTGAAATATTGTTACATCTAATCCCCTTTGTTCCTGTCTGTCTCTTGAATGAACAGTGTCAAATAAGGGTAAAAAACAAGAAAACATAGCGCAGTGTCAATTCTGCCAAACTTAAGCAATGCGAGACTGTTCGATATTATATTATTAAAAAGGGGCAGGAGAATGGAATAGGCCCGACAAAGATGTGAGGTAAAATACTTTAAAATGTTTGTAGAACTTGCTTAAAGGCAAAGCACAGAAGTTGGAGTGAATGTGCTTAACTTCTTCAAGGAGGAAAGTTAAAGATGATTTGCATTAGTGGAACTTGAAGATGGAACCAACAGCTACAGTAAGAGTCCAACATTTAAACTCCCGGAGATAAAACTCACACATTTACCCATACACGATGGGGTGCAGTGTATTTCATACGCTCTATGCCATTCCTCTAATCCTTTGATGAGTGAGAGACTGGTATAGATAGGACCTGGACAGTGACTCACCAACACATGTGTGCGGTCAGTCTCTAATAAATCACTAAAGAGAGAAGAAACCTGTCAGGCAACGCAGCTCTGGAGCCATTATGGGCCCTGTCTGTTTGCTCAGGAAGACCTCTCTTGATCCTAAATAACCCCTCCAACCAACCTCCATCTGCTATGGGTGAAAAAAGTCAAGATGTTCAAGAGTATCTTCATTTTACGGCACAAAGGCTTTGAGTGTGGAACTCAACCCTTCAATGGTCAAGTTGATTTTATAGACACCTTGAAATGCCACAAGGATATTAGTAACAGTTGCACTTCTTACAGCCGAACAACTGGGGAGAAACAAGTCATTTGGGAGAAAACAAGCTTTTTAACAAGTTCTTGGTGAAGACTATGGTGGCCGACAGGTGCAAAAGGAGAAACTCGCTGCAGCTTTAAAAACGGTGCAAATAAAAAAACACAAATGTGTCACTCAAAACACATACAAATAAAGAAACATCTTCACCAACTTGTAAACAGATTCGCAGCATTCAGAAAACATTCACCAACTTGGCGAAACATGAGCAGGGTTTCCTAAAAGCGCTGCATAGAAGAAATGCTGAAGGTGTTTCGTCAAGATGGTGAAAATGTTTCTTCATTTGCACATTTGTTTTTTATATGTGCAACGTTTATGAAAGTGCAGCGCACTGTTCCTAATGGAAGTGTTTTGGGCCGTTGTAGCATGTTGCACCTGTCGGCCACCAGAGAAGGCTAATGTCAAACTTGTATCCAAAGCCATAAACAAAATGATGCACTTCAGAATCAACCGACTTATACCTTAACCTTTGAGAATAGTTTGTCTTTTATTGACCATCTTTTTTTTTTTTGTCTAATGCTTTTAAAAGGAAAATGATGGATGGCCACTTCTTTGTGTCATCAATTGCATAAAAAATGCACATTATGCTCTGCATCTGTTGCTAAAAAAACATCAATGTCTCTGATTGCTCTTCTTGTTTGGTTTAATGAATAAAACATTTAATTTAATGTTTTTTTGATGCTGTAAAAGTGAGCCCCAGCTATTTCTCCTATGTCTTTTTTATGCAGGCAACGCAAGTGCTGTCTATGTTTTGAATTATTTCCAGCATTATCTCCTTCATCGTGACCTTCAGATGTCAACAGATCCTCTGGACTTTTTAAGTGTTCTGGTATTTGCTTTATGTGTGGCATTAAACAGCCTCTTAGAATACTCCAAATTAGATTTCGCAAAAGGTGTATCGGAGCCTTCTGGGCAGGCACATCCAGACAAAGACAATCTTCTTTGGAAGAATTTAAGGTACAGGATGACGCAGGTTTAAGGGACTTTCCAAGACGTCAGTAACATCTGAGCAGATGACGGACAGGAATGCTAGCAGGGACAAAAGAGCAGCATTATAAGCGCTGTATTAAACTCATCAGCTTTGATTCAATGGTATCAGGACTGCATCACAGGTCAATGGATTATAAGATTTTCCGCCTTGTTTAAATCATTCGTCTCACATGTACAAACAAAGCAGCAGCCTTTTAAACAATCTCACTTTAATTCCACTGTGAAAAGGCCAAAGTAGAAAAGACGATCTTAAACAGAATCATCCTAGATCCGATTGGCATCCGTCTAAAATTCCAAAGACTTGGCCGGTGGCGCAATTTTCCCAACCACTTGTAATTTCTGTGGTTCTGTTTCATTTGATAGCATGTACAACACTGTAATGGACTATTTTAAATGATAATCATAGTAATCATAATCAGGAAGTAGGAAGAGTTAAAATGGGATTAAACAAAATGAGCCACGGATCTTCTGAATACTCCTTGCAGTGGCAAGTAAGGGCACATTTATTAACAATGATTTGATGCATTTTTAAGTGTGAAGGAGTTCAGGCGATCAGTTTTATTTACCAAGTAGGGAAAATGTAAGCTCTTGATTTACAATTCAATTTAAAGTATGAATCAACACTCACCTATGGATATTATCTTTAGTTAATATCCAAAACACTCATAAAACAAGTTGTGGAAGTGAGTTCCTTGGGTTTTTAATCTAATATTACTTTATCATTATCAATTAAAGGGGCCCTATTATGAAGATAAATATCAACTTGTATTAATCGCCGGGAGGGAAATTCAATTTTTCACTCTAATGATAGTATACAAATACACACACGCATTCACAGACAGGACCTATATACATGCGCTGATGAGGTGGTGGAGCGAAGAGGCTGCCAGTCTGTCCGGCGCCAGCAACTCAAATCATATGTGGTTACTTTTACTTGAAAGTGTGTGAAAAACATAAGATTTATAAAACATTTGCCTTTTTTGACAATGCGCTGTGGCTAATTCCTTTGTTTGTTTACTCAGCGGCAAGATTGTGAATGAACTTCTGTAGACATTTGGACTAATTTGGACAGATTGCAGCAAGTTTTGGCTGCATATGGAACATGTTTTTTCCTTAATTACTACTGACCTTCATCTCCAGTTTGATCAAGCACCATGAATAACACTTACCAGAGCCCAACATGACTCATGAATTTCACAAATCTACTTTCAAATTAAGAGATAAACACACAAATGTAGAAGACAGTTACATTCTTGCTCTCTGAGGTATTAGTGTGTAAGGTGTACAGTGTTGGGCAAGTTACTTCCAAAATGTAATATATTACATATTACTTATTACTCTCTTTTGAAAGTAATAAGTTACATTACAATATTACTGTCTCCGAAATGTAATGAGTTACACTACTTTAGTTACTTTTTAGTTACTTTCACCAAAATAACCGCAAAAGAATAGCTAGGTATTTTAAATGCTAAAATGTAGTTTAGTGCAGCTCATTATACATCCAGTGAAGGGCAATGTGGTATAGCATAACAACTGCGTAGGCCCTTAAGGCTACTACACGGCTTAGTTGAATACTCCATTCTGATTGTAAATTCTTAACATGTGACACGTTGTTAATACAGCAGTACAGACCGCTGTCAAGGACTATAATGAAGGTTAACATATTGTAAATCAAGGCAAATATTATTTAAACCATGCTCATGGTTTGAAATGGCAAACATTGAAAGGCAAAGGTATTATTA